GATGGGTTTTGGAGGAGCTTAAAATTGTCCTGATCTTTTTTTTCAAGGATGCCAGCAGGAGGGTGGTGTTGGAAAATTCCTTGATACTTCTCAAGCCACAGGGGAAAGGTTTTGGGCAGAGGAGTTGCCAGCTATTGCTCATCCTGAGCAGATGGCACCCTCCAGTCAACTTGCTAGAAGGCATTTGGCAGAAAGAGAACCCAGGTAGGTCAGCAGGCCTCTTCTGCTCGCTGTGGGACCTCAGGGGCCACTCCAGGCGCCTGTTTCCTCACATAAATGGGATCTTCATAATACCCAGTCACTTTGGGAGTGAGGAATAAGTTAGGTAATGTACATATTGAGCTAAGGTTCTGAAGGGTAGGTAGTAACACTTTTTTTTTTGCTTTTGCTTTTTATTTCGGGGCGAGGGGAATTCAGTCCTACAGAAATGTTGTGAGAATAGTATAACAAATTCCTTAACGTTTTGCCACATTTCCTTTTTCCTCTCTCTACTTACAATAATTTCTTTATTATAGATACAGGCATAGAAAGGGTAAACATCAATTTCAGGAAATTGTCACTTTCAGATTCATCCAAAGCTATTATGCAGTGTAGAGTGCATTATTAAATTGTGCCGCTTGTTTCCATGCCATCTTTAAGGCAGGACTCCCCTCCCCCACCTAGGATCTGATCTAATCCCTTTAGTCATGCCTGCTTAGTCTCTTAATCTGGAGGAGTTCTTCAGCCTTTCTTTGTCTTTCCTAACTTCCATATTTTTGTTTCCTTGGTGCCTGAGCCTCCCTGTGTTGGTCAGGCTGTCCTTAAACTCCTATGCTCATGTGAGTCTCCCACCTCGGCCTCCCAAGTGCCTGGACTGTAGATGCAAACTTTTGACATTCCTGAAGAGTTACAAGCCATTGTTTTGTAGAATGCCCCAGGATTGGGGTTTGTTGATATTTCCTTGTGATTAGATTCAGACTGAGCATTAGGAGTGATGTTGATTCCCTTCACTCAGGGGAGGTGGTATTGTTTTCCCCTTGTAATTAATAAGTGATCTGTGGGAGGTGTTTTTGAGAGTATGTATGTGTATACGGTTCCCCAACACATTTTTAATCAATGGTTTGTTGTTTTATCATGTGTTGACTTTTGACCAAACTCCTCCTGAAATTCAGCTGCAGGTCCGAATCCTGATTGACTTTTAGGTCAGTAAACCAGAGTTCCTTTGGGGGCTGCAAGTGTGAAACTTAGCGTGGGGAAATATATTGATTTTTGTTAAAGAACTTTTATTCCATTTAGAACACAGATGCTTTTCTTGAGTTTAAAATCTGAAAAGACCAGAGTCATTTATTCATTTTTCCAGTAGGTATTTGTTTAGTGCTTATTCCATGCCAGCTGCTATTCCAGGTGCTGGGGATAAATGGTAAAAAGAAAAAAACCAAGTCCTTTCTTCCTGCAAGTGACATTCTCCATGGTGGAGTCAGACAGTACAACTTTATGGTACTGTCAGGCAGTGATAAGGGAAGAAAAAGCAGGGCAGTGATGGAGATGGAGGGCTGTGGGGCTAGAGGGTGGCGTCAGCCAGGGCTGCCTGCAGGGTGAGGCCAGGGAGCCTGGGGAAGGGTTTGTCTGGAAGTGGAGTGACTGCACAAGGCCCAGAGAGGGCTCGTGCCCACTGCTAGGTGGCAGGACAGCGCAGAGTCAGTGTGGCTTCAACAGAGGCAGCAAGGAGGAGAGTGGATAAATGAAAGGATGGGAGCCTTGAAGACCAAGATGGAGCTAGTGGAGGACGTTGGCAGGGAGCTGCCCCAGCACTGATGCCAGCAAGCAGGGGTGTCCCTGTGGTGGTCTGAGGGCAGCTGGGCGCTGAGAAGTGAAGGTCTAGCAGGGCTCTGAGAATGCTGCCCGTGGGATCACCATGGGGGTTCACCTGCCACTCAGGAGCTCCTCAGGGAAGGAAGATGGGCAGGGACTGAGCATTTGAGTCACTGAGGCTCTGGATTTTCTTCCTGCTCCCTCAGATCCGGGCAGGAGGGGGCTGGCACCGTGAGATTTCTGTTTTCCCTGCGCCCTGGGTGGCTGGGGCAGATCCTTGACAAGCCTGGGCAGACCATGGCTTGTTCCCAGGCCCCTGGAATAGCCAGAGAGCCCCAGGCTATGAGCCCAGGGCCCTGTGTCCCTTGCCAGCAGAGTTAGGCTGTTCTCCAGTTGCAGCCCTGCCTTTGTTCCCAGACGTCTCTTCCCCCACTCCGAGGGAGTTCTGTTCTGTTACCCCTTGTTTCTTCACCACCCAACCTAGGCGACTGAAGGCACAATAAAAACGACAATAAAGGTAGTGTTTGTAGAGTGCTTTACAGTGTTGGAAGGCACTTACAAAATGGTTTCCACCTACTAATTTATTTAATTCTCACATAAACCTTGTAAGGAGGAACTGTTTTTTGTTGGTGATGGTGTTTTTAATTTTTTAATATGTATTTTTAGTTGTTGGTGGGCTTTATTTTAGTCATTTATTTATATGCTGTGCTGAGAATCCAACCCAGTACCTCACACATGCTGGGCAATCGCTTTTAACACTGAACCACAACCCCAGCTCCAGAAGGTACTGTTTTTACCCTTAGATAGGAGGTGAGGAGAGTGAAGCAACAGAGAGGGTGGGCCACTTATCCATGATAACACAGTAAGTGCAGAGCCTCTTGGGATCTTGAGTGCTTGACCTCTGACCATGAGCCTATAATGTTGGGTTGTTAGAGAGCAATGAAGAGTGAAAAGTGAGAAAGTGTTTTGCTGCTGTCAGAGGGTTGAGGAAGCTATTGTGCCTCCCTCTTAGGGTCAGATCCATGATTCCCAGGAGTCTGGGTGATGTTTACTTAGTGTCTCCTCCCATGATCCAGATGACATATTTTGTTTAATGCTAACAACGTCTCTGTGAGACAGCTTTTGCCGCCACCCTTCAACAGGTGAGGAAACAGACTATTTAAGAGGCCAAGTGTCACTCAGTAAGGGAGAGTCATATGGCCACTCTGGTTCAGACCCCCAGTCTTCCTGATACCACTGGTTACTGGTGATGAGTTCTGCTCCCTCAAATGTTGACATATGAACATTAGAGAAGCACACCGAGGCAAGAACATAAAAGCAGGGTTTACTTAAGAAGGGGTAACAGACTTCTCCTGGGAGGGAGAATGGGGCCATAGCTGGTGTCCCGGTATCCCCGAGGTGTTCTGTTCCTTTGTTCTGCTCTCTTCCCCTTATCTCTCTCCTTCCTGCCTATGTGACTAGGCCTAAGGGTGGGAAAGGGGGAGGGTGCGCAGGTTCTTGATAAGGGTGGAGGAAGGGTTCTGAAGGAATTAACATTTCAGTTCTTCAAGGGGTAGTCTCCAACTCAAAACTGGCCTCCTTGATCCAATCTGACTTGATTTACCCATCTCTGCTGACTGCTTGTCTAATTCTGGCTTCATTCCCACATGCTGCCTTGCTTGCCCCCAGAGCTAATGGTGAGGACATTTAGTACTTGCCAGAAGTCATGTGCTGGGTGTGTCACACTTGTACATCCCTGCTGGCTTTGAAAACATACTGAGCTGTTAGGCAGGCCTCTGTATCAAGAAAGCACTGAGTTAGCTGGGCACGGTGGCATACGCCTGTAATCCCAGTGACTTGGGAAACTGAGTAGGAAGATCACAAGTTTGAGGCCAGCCTCAACAATTTAGCAAGACTGTTTCAAAATAAAAGTTATGGGGATACATCTCAATGGTAGAACACTCTTAGGTTCAATCCCCAGAAACACACACACACCCCCAAAAAGCACTGACTTTAGGATAAGATGACCTTGGTTTTAGTCCTGCCTCTGCCACATCTCCAGCGTGACACAAGATGAGTCTTGAAATCCGTGCCACCTTTTCTTTCTCACCAGCGGAAGCAGGATTAAAACCAACCATATCCTCAGACCAAATACAAAAAGTATAGGCTCATGGTCCTTAGCTGGGTCTTGTGCTATGGAGGTGAGTAGAATTCCCTGGAGTGACTTCTTTGAGAGAACATATCTGGATCCCAGGGAGGGGAGTCAGGGGTACATGTACCCCTTTTGTCCCAGCCTATTTTGAAACACATTTTACCCCCCACCCCAGATCTGTGTTGAAGCACTATATGTAAAAGTTAGAGTAATGACAGTGGTCATGCCAAATGTTTTTCAAATTAAGGGAAAGGACTTAATCACAACCAGGTGGTGTTAGGCCAGAACACTAGTCTAGGGTACTTGCAGGAGAGCTATAGGGTTTCCTCATTAAAACTGCTCCTCTCCGCTAGGGACAGTTTTGCCCACCATTTGACACTATCTGGGGACTTTGGTTGTCACAGTTGGGGAAGGTGCTGCTAGCATCCAGGGAGAGGCCAGGGTTGCTGCTAATAAACATGTTGCAATGCACGGGACAGCCCCCACTGAAAAACTCCTCAAGGCCAAGCTATTGGTGGTGCCAAGTCGATAAACCCTGGGTTAGATGTAGACAGGACTTGTGTAGTATCTGCCTCGTGCCAGACATTGTTCTAAGGGCTTTACAGGTTATTAACTCACTTGATCTTTCCAGTGTTATGACATAGGAACTGTTACTATCCTCATTTGGCAGATGGAAAATTAGCTGTACACACAGGTTAAGCAACTGGACCCAGTTCCCACCTGGGGCCAAGGTCCCACTTGGTGTGGATAAGGAGCTTAGACAGTCTGATTCCAGAGTCCACACTATGAACCACTGTGCTGTGCTATGCCTCCTTATGGGGGCTACTGAGCTTTAAATCACATTTTCAGCTTTGAGTCCAGAAAGCCATATACCTAGAAATTTGCACATGAAAAGAGTTAAGATACCATTAGTTCCTGTACCTGGAAGATGGAGACGGGGTGGCCAGGGATAGTTTAATGGTAAGAACTCAAGAATCCATCAGTGAAAGCTTTGTGTTTTCCAGGTTCAGAGTGTGGCTCAGTCCATGAATTGAATGGGCTTTGCTTTCTAGTCACAGACTGTGCTTTGTCATTGCAGACGTGAAGACCACAGTGGTATACCCTGCCACAGAGAAACACCTACAGAAGTACCTGCGCCAGGACCTCCACCTGATCCAAGAGACAGGAGATGACTACAAGAACATTACCTTACCTCACCTGGAGTCCCAGAGCCTCGGCATTCAGGTGACTGGCTGCCAAGTCTGAGATACTGAATGCTGTTCCTGTGCCAGTTTCTTTTCCTTATGAGCATCTATTGGGATCTTCCCAGGGACTAAGCACTGTACTAAGTTCAGTGGATATAGCAGAGAGCAGAGCAGACTAAGTCCCTGCCCCATAGAGCTTACCTAATTTGGGGAGTCAGACAGAACATAAATGCATGAGGACATATATGATACATGAGATTATGAATGCAGTGGAGAAAACTGGAGAGGATCAGTGAGATAGAGAGTCCCAGGGTGGCTGGTTGCTATTTTATACAGGATGGTCAGAGTAGGCTTCATAGAGAAAGGAATTGGCCCTGGTCTTGGACCCCTCATGAGATGCTTGGGCATGTCACTGAGGCTCTCTGGGAGTTACTGAGCAGTTCAGTCTGCTAGAAGAATTTGTATCTGCTTCACATTATCCTACGACAGTCTCAAAATGACTGTGTCCTCCTTGTGTTGGATTGGGCCCACCCTGGTCCAGCTTCTTATTCCTGATTGCTCCTGTAGCAAACCAGCTGTGTCTCAGAGTAAACTACTTCCCTATCACTCATTCTGCTTTACATTTATTCCACAGAAATCAGTGCCCTGTCATCCCTGACATTTGTTTGGGCCTCTGAGCACAGGTTGGTAGAGTGTTCTGGCTGGGCCAAATATAAGTCTGTCTAGCTTAGAGATCCTGATGGCTTCTTGAGCGTAGGCCAGGGCCAGCCAGAATTGGCCCCATGTGGATACTCACAGTTAAATATGATTGATGATGATTGATGAGTCATTTCCTTGCCCACTCACTGGCTCTTTCCCATTATTGTTTACTCTTGTTCTCTTTGAGCATTTCTCATAATCTCCCCAAGATTCAGGTTACTGTAGTGGGAAGTATTCTAATATGGGGTGCTCAAAGATATTCTGGGCTCAGAAGGCAGGAGGGAGAGAGGGAGCTGCAGGGTCAGTTGTACTGGGAGGAGTTAAGGAGAGGGAGATTGGCAGAACCTGTGGAAAGGCTATTCCCTGGAGAGGCCTGTGTGCTGATAGCCCTCTTCCCTATATCTAAGAGGACCCGGCCCTGTTATTAGCCATGCCTCCCATGCAGATTTGCACATGGTTCCTCTAACTGAAGCTGTCCTGATTTTTTTTTTCTTTTTTCTTTCTTTCTTTCTTTTTTTAAAAAAATCCCAGCACTTGTCCTGTCTTCTGAGTGGAAAGAAAGTATGTCTCTACATTCCTGAACAGCTTCTATTCAGGGTCCTAGAGGAATCTGCTGGAATATGTGTTCTGTGGTGCTGGTTGTACTTATCTGGGATTCAAGAGAGGAAGCCCAAATGTAGTTGTCGTGAGTCATATATCTACTTTATTACACATCCGAACATATGTCCACTTGGAAAATAATACAACAAAAACTCCACTACTTTTCTATTGACATGAGCATTCATGTATTTCTTCTTGGCTATTTCTAGCAAGTGTATAAGCAGTCACTGCATTTATTGAGCATCTGTAGTATACCAGCTAGGCTCTGGAGGAACACCCAGGTAATGAACCCTTGCTGATGCAGTCTAGCAGGGAAGATAGATTAGGAGGACTAAAACCCACCATGGATCTGAACCAGGGTAGAGATAGCAGGGAAGGATTTGGGAGTGATTTAAGAGGTAAACCTTAATGAGGTTGATTGGACTTAGATTGGTTGACATGGAAAAGGAGGTATGAGTGTGGTATGACCCTGGGTCTTGCTTGCCTGACGAGCAGACAGTAAGATCATTTATTTATCAGGATGGAAACATGGACAGTGGAATGGGTTTTTGTGAAAGACAATGAGTTCTGTTTGGGGTTTATTGAGCATTTATTAATTGTCAAGAACTATTCTAGGTATTTTACTTGGATTACCTCATTTTATGTTCACAACAGCCCATTTGGAGATGGGACTCCAAATCCAGGCTTTCTGGCCCCAGCATCTATATTCTTAGCTGGTGACATTATTTGACTCTTCAAATTTGAAGTACTTGTAACTTTCCAGTAAAAATGCCCAATAAAAAAAGATAGTGGGATATCTGAATCTGAAGCCTTGAGGCATTCAGCTGAAAAATCTTCATTTGTGAGCCGTCACATTAGGCTTCAGCATTGGCCTGCTGTTATGATTCTTATTCTGCTAAGAGCAGCATGGCATTGTCCTTGACTTCTGGGCCTGTGTCCTTTTCTAAAAAATGTGATTAACAGATCCTTCCTCCTAAGGTTGTTGTAGAAATTAAGAGAGGTACCATTTATCATGTGCTGCTATTTCCTGAAAAGGACCCAGGATGGAGCTGCCATTATCCACACCCAGGAAGAACGGGAACAGGCAGGCATGAGAGGGATGGACAGGTGGGGGACAAACCAGGTGAGCAGAAAGTGTCACCCACAATCCCATCATTGGCAGAGCTAGCCAAGTCTCTAGGGCTTACATTTAGACGTTAGCCTTTCCATCACCTACCTTAGGAAATTTGTGTGGATTTTGTTCTCTCTATCCCCTCCCTTTCTTCTCTGGGCTTCTGGCCGTGAGACTTCCTAAGGATGCAGGTTCCTGCCACTTGCCCAGGGAACTCTCCCAGGAGGCAGGATATGCTGTGGGCTACAGTGCAGGCTCAGGAGCCAGACTCTCAGGGTTAGAATTGTGGGAGCTTATGCGAACTTCCTTGCATCTGTGCTTTTCTTACCTGCAAAATGGGGACAACAATAGAAGGGTTATGGCCCTTAGAGTAGTATAAGAGTAGGGCTGCCCTTGCTGTCCCCACTCCCAGTCGCTGGCAGTCACTTAGCTTCCAGCTGTGTGCTTCTCCAGCCACTTCCTTTGCTTTCACCCGCTTCTTTCTTTCTGCCTCACTTAATCTTAGAGCCTCCAGCAAATCACCCCTTTGTCATCACCTGTCTTGGAGTGCCACTGCTACTCTTAGGTTGCCTCCTCTGTGCTGGGCTCTGGGCTAGGTGCTCACACATGCATGTCTGAATTAAACTCCTCACATGTGTAGATCCTGTTAGTCCCATTTAATGAAAGAGGATTCAGTTGCTTGCCTAAGGTGGCAGCAAAACAGTGATGGAGCTGAAAGATAAACCCAAATATCAAACCCCAGAATCCATGCATGCTCTCTGACACCCCCCGCTGCTCTCCAGTGGACGTGGTGCTTCTCTGGATGAGCAAAGGACAGCCCAGGAGGTCAGCTTATGGAGCATACCAGACTCTCCACAGTAGAATGTCGCCATCTCCCTCATTTCCTGAGTTTCCCAGAGGCTTCAGATCAGCCTCCAGCTGACTTTTTTTTCTCCTTCCTTTCTTTTTTCCCCTTTAGCAGCACATTTCCAGAGAGGTCTCTGGTGGGAGACGAAATGCCTCTGGAGGAATCTTGGCCCTCCAGAGGGCATCGCTTTGGCCATGGGCACTGCATGAGGAAACAGCCACTGGGTGTCCTCCAGACCTCTCCCAGGAAGTGGATCCCCCAGGCTTTTCCTGGAAAGCCCCCATCCTACTTTTGTGTGTGTGTGTGTGTGTGTGTGTGTGTGTGTGTGTGTGTGTTGCTGGGGATCGAACCCAAGGCCTTGTGCATGCAAGGCAAGTACTCTACCAGCTGAGCTATATCCCCAGCCTGGGAGCCCCTCTTTGATGGTGGGGGAACCACACTATGATTGGCCTTTGGGTTTTGCTAGGGTCTAGAGGTCATCTGGGTTGAAGTGCTTCCTGTAGGTAATTGTAGGAGACTGGAGGCCCAGTTATCTGCAGGCAGAGGCCCTCTTCTCCCTTCCCATTGTCCCAGCTGAGAGCAAGGATGCAGTGTGGTGTGCTCAGCCATATAGGCCCAGGATATGAGGTTTGCAGAACTGGGACCAGCAAGTCTACCCCTGGCCTTCAGTGGTGCTGCCTATGCCAGCACTTCTGGGAATGGGAAGAGGGCCAAGAGGACAGTGGCAGCCTGGTTGTGTCAGTACCCTGTCCTCCCTGTCAGGACATCCTCTCCCTCCTCAGTGTTTTGGAGGTCCTTTTGAGTTTGAGGAGGAAAGGGCAGCAGTGTAGGTTTCCATCAGGTTTCCCTTTTGGCTGTAGAACAGTCACCTGTACAAGGGCCCTGAAGGTAGGAGAAGTAGAGAGGAATCTAGGGTACCTGGGTTTGACCTTTGCCAGCCCAGGCCTCTTCTTAGCCTAATTTTCCTCAGAAAGCCTCTACAGACCTCTGATTAGAAGGAAACCTCTGTGCCCTCAGTCTCCTAATAGTCTTTGCCCCATGGTCCTGAATAAGTGGAACCAGGGTCCATAAAGACAGCTCTTCCCCTTCATCCTGTGGATGGTGGAAGGGGTCACCACTACAGGGGCTCCATGTGGACCAGGCCTATGAGCATGTGGCAGAATGGGAGGCACTATGCTGACCAGAAAGAGCCTAAAGGGCAGCCTGTCTAAGCAGCAGAGGTCTGGGATGGCCAAGAGTCAGCTGTGGTGGGAGAGAGGAAATCTCTCTGGATCCCCAAACAGCCTGTTTGTTAATCCCTGAATTTAGCAGCCATTTATAGTTTCGTTATCCTTTCCAGAGGGGCCAGAGAACTTGTCTGGCCTAGCTGAAGGCGGGTGGATTTGTGAACCATCTCTTTCCCTCTCCTTCCAGTGGGTGTATAACATCCTTGACAAGAAGGCTGAAGCTGACCGGATTATTTATGAGAATCCAGATCCCTCTGATGGCTTTGTCCTCATCCCTGACCTCAAGTGGAACCAACAGCAGGTAAAGATCACATGCTGGAGTGCTCTGGGCTCCGACAACCCCACTCTGGTCATTGACAACTCCACTCCCAAGTTGCTGGCCTCCTTTGACTGCCCTTCTTCCTCAACATCCACATCTCTCTCAGCAGATTATAATTACCCATCAAGGGATGGCCAGAGTATATTTTTTCATACACAAATACTTTTGCTTTCATGGTCACCTTAAAGACTTTTCTGGCTGAGTTCTTACCCAAGAGGTGAGCTGAACAGGGATGTTCGTCTTCATGACTGCAGAGGCCATTCCTTCACTACTTAACCAACCAAGTGACTCAGACGCCATCTTCACTTCTAGCATCATCTGGAGCCTCAGGTGGAACATTCTCTCTGTCCCCCTGAACACTACCAGATCCAGGCAGGCCCATGTTCAAAGCACAGAGAGGAACCATGATGATCAATCCAAAGAGTCCCCTACCCCCACTGAGCTGCAGAATTGTTTTCCAGTAGCCCAGACCTCCACTTCAGTTGTTAGCTCCCCATTCCCTGGCCTCCAAATGACTCTGCTTCTCCAAACCTTTGAAGGAGCAGGTTTAGAGGTGCCATCTACACTCTCTAGGTCTCTTCCCTCTCTCCAATTTGCTTTTGCCTCTTTATACCCTGAGTGTATTAGAAACATTTGTACCCTGATGGATTCAGGAACAGGCAGGTCCATCATGTTGTAAAGATTGCTATTTACAGGCTGGAATTAGAAGGGGCCAGGTAGGTAGACACAGGAGATTTGGCCATAGATAGCGTCCTCTCTCATCCAGTTACACTCTTGGAGTAACCTGGGCTTGGGTTTGCCATCTGCCCTAGGTGGGCCCATATAGTTTCTGTGCCTTCATCTGGTCATGAGATCCATGCAGAAATGTTGTGGAGCCTGGGCCCTGGCTGATTCTTTGTGGAAACCCTTCTTGTTTTCTCAATTGTGACCTGTTCTTCAGGATGTTAGGACATATATTGAACTCACCTGCAATTTGCTTAGTTTTTGATTCATTGAACTTTAAAGCTACTGCCCCCAGAAGGGGTTTAAAGGCCTGTGGTTGAAGTATAGGGACTGGATTTTAGCTCAAAGCATCTTTTGTCTCTTGATAAGAGGCTCATAGTTATTCTCAAACATGGCTCAAGGGGTGGTAGGGAATGCAAAGAGAGTTTCCAGAAGTTGCAGCATGGAATGATGATTTCTTAGAGCCAAGCAGGATCAAAAAAGATAGCTTGTGTGTGAGGTGTTGTAGTGAAAGGGGCCAAGAGCACACCAGACCCCAGTCTCCTCTTCCCTTGTCCCTGCCTGGGCCACCTTCAGGCCTTAAGGAAGGGAACGTGGACTTGCTCTGGAGGTGGTTGAAGAGCTAAGACAAGGCCCCAGAATCATGACCACAAGGTAGCTCTGCAAACCCCCATCTTTCTTTAGATAGACTAAAGATCCTGAATTAAAGTCAGGTCATGGGAGTCAGGGGTGGGAGAGGAGGAACTTTGGCCTCATAAAACTCTTGAAGACTAAAAGAGCTTGTGACTGATTGCAGGGGCATTGCAGCCACAGAAAGACAGTAAGGATGAACTTGTACATCTCCGTTTCAGAAGCCCTGAATGCATCTGAGTCCAAAATAGGAAAACTATCAGTCATCTGATCCAAGGATGGCAGGAAAGCTTTGGGAATTATACTGGGTTCTCAGTCACATAGCTGGAGCTGCCTGCCCTTGAGGGGAGTGAAGGAGCCAGTTTAAATGTCAGAACTTCCATGATATTAATGCTAATATGGTCCTTCTTAACCTTTGCCTAATTCATTTTTTTAAAAATATTTTTAGTTGTTGATATACCTTCATTATTTATTTATTTATTTATATGTGGTGCTAAGGATCGAACCTAGTGCCTCACACATGCTAGGCAAGTGCTCTGCCACTGAGCCACAACCCCAGCCCCACCTTTGCCTAATTCTTGCTTATTTTTTTAAAGGTGCCATATTTCAGTGCCTCAGATCTATGGCTTGTGACATCACTGAACTTTTTTTTTTTTTTTTTTTTTACTTTTGATACCAAGGATTGAACTGAGGGGCACTTAACCACTGAGCCACATCCCCCAGTCCTTTTTGGTTTTAATTTTTAATTTGAGACAGGGTCTCACTGAGTTGCATAGGGCCTCACTAAGTTGCTGAGGCTGGCTTTGAACTTACAGTCTTCCTGTTTCAGCCTCTGGATTACAGGCTTGTACTACTGCACACAGCTTTGAATCTCTGAACTTGATTGCTCCCTTAGAAGTTGGCAACATTCCCAGAAGAAAAATAGACCACATCTAGGCTTCTATTCCTCATCCTGGGGCCATGGACTGATTGAGGGGGAAGTGCTTCAGCATTTGTTTCCGGGACGCCTTCCTGGCTCCCTTGAGTCTCTCACAGCTTCTCCTGGAAGTATATTTCCCTTTCTTCTTTTTGTCCTTTCATTCTCTTCCCTTTCTCTTTCTATTCCTTTCCTACCGAATCCCTTCATATTCTCTAAGCATGTGCTCCACTCGTAGCCCCTGGAATTGTTATCTTTATTGTCCCCACACCGAAACCTCTATATTTACCCATTTGTTCTTTCTTCCATCCCCTCAATAAATGTGTATCAGATGCCTAATGTTGCTAGAGGTTATGCCACCCAGAGCTTATAACAACATTCCTTCCCTGGTTCTCTTAAGAGATCACTGTTTTTTGTTTTTTCATTTTGTTAGTTAATTTGTGCCCATGGTAAAATTGCACATAATATAGGGAATATTCAGTGGGATTAAGTTCCCCACCCTGCTTTCTTCCCTTCCTCAGAAACAATCATTGTTTCTATTTCTTTGTATCTCCTTTCAGGGATAATTTTTGTATATTGTGTGTATAAATACACGCACATACGCACACACACATACATACATACACAAACACACATGCATTTTCGGTTCACATAGTTTGTTCTTTAGTCTAAAGTTCCCAGACCAGGGAGTCTTTCCTCTAAGTCACTCTGGATGTCAAGAAATGGCTCTCCAATGCTCCAGTCATCCTCTGTCTTGCCCCTTGTCAGGAAATCATTAACTTTGAAATCATTAACTGTCCTGCCTTACAAAGAGACTGACTGTGTCTGTCTCCCCAGAGTGGTCAATGGGCCACCTTTTAGGGTGCCAGTCTCAGGCCCTAACCCACCTTTTTGCCAGGCTTTTTTCAGATCATTTCTATGGGCCCGGAAGCACTTTGGCTGCCTGCAGAAATTTTGGGATTATGTCTGCTATCAAAGAATGGTTTCTTTTTGTTCCCTCACACAGCCTGTGAGCTGACACCCAACACCAGGCTCCATGCCTCATTTCATTCCAATGGAGCAGAGAGATGTGATTTAATATCAGGTTTGGGTTTGTCAACAGACATCATCTAAAACAAATGCTACTATTATCTGGGTGTCCTGTGACGACAGTGAGACGTGGTATAGCTGAAAATGTGCACACATTTGCAGATGTGCGTGCACACACACATGTACACACACACACATGCCCAAGTCAAGCAATTTTGTTTCCTGGTTTCTCTTTGGACTCTTCCCTAGTATGAGAGTAAATTTCCTGGATACAGGCCATAGGAAGAAACTAAGCCTTTGTGGACTTATTATCTCTAGCAGGGTCTGTCCGGGAGAACCCAGACTCTTAGAACTCTGGATGAAAAGAATGACAAGAAGATACTATTTCATGGTTGGACATAAGGCAGTTGGGTCCCTGGGGATTTGACTGTGTGACTCATGGTCCCCATATTATCTCCATGAAGAATCTAGCAGGTCAGACTACAGCACTGGGCACTGCTGAATTCTCCCTGAGCCTCGGCCCTGGGAATGTTGGCCTGCCTGGCACTTGAGAGTGATAATCAGGCAAGGCCAAGGTTTGGGGTATCGGGGAGGATGTGAGAGGGATTTCTGGCCAAGAGGAAGAGTTCATTTGCTCTCTGGCACAAGATATTGTTGACTCTGATTCTTTGCTCTGTTGTGACCTCCAGGTTTTCAGACAGGCGCCGTTTTCAGGAAGGACAGCAGGAACAGCCACCCCTGAAATGTTGATGGGGAAGGAGAGAAATGGGCTAACTGCTGTGGTGGTGTTTGTTGCTAAGCTGGCCCCAGGCTCCCATTCCCTCCTTCACACCTCACTATATCCCACACACCCCTTCATGTGCCTTCATTCCAGATAAGTTGGGCTGCTTGCCCCCCGACTTCTGTGCCCTATACAGTCTTGACTCTGAGCCTCCTTTCTCATTGTTCCCTCTCCCAGAATGTCCTTTCTATCTTCTTTTTTTTTTTTTTTTGGTGGTGGTGGTTTTGGGATTGAACCCAGGGCTTTGTGCATGCAAGGCACGACACACTCTACCAACTGAGCTATATCCCCAGCCCTACCTCTGTCTTTCTTTCATCAAACCCAAGGCCCAGAGCTTCATACTTACGAGGCAAGCACCCTAGTAGTAAGCTACATCCCAGACCTATTTTTATTTTGAAACAAAATCTCACTAAGCTACTCAGGCTGGCCTCGAACTTGTGTTCTTCCTGCCTCAGCCTGTGGGTTGCTGGGATTACAGAATGTGCCACTGTGTCCACCTCCTACCACTTTTTCAAGACCTAGATCCCCTACCTTCTCTTCCAGGAGGTCTTCCTGGATCATCCCACTGAGTAGGAACCTTTCATTCTTCCTCCTGTGTTTTGATCACTTTATTTTGAGGGTATAGCTCAGTGGTAGAGTGTGTGCTTAGCACATACAAGGACTTGGGTTCAACACCCAATCTTCTCAAAAAATCAGTTGTACTTTATGTCTTATAGTAGAGTGACCTATGTACATGGATTAGATTGTAAACTCCTAGAGGAAAAGAATTCTTCTTGGCTCTTCTTGAGCTTCCCTATAGCCTCCCCTCTCCCCATCAACTCTGAAGAATGGGTAATATTGCTGCAGGATGTTCTTTAGAAGGAAGAATACACAGAAATCCTGTTCCTGCTAGCCCTGGGCACAAGAACACCTACACTGCCTGGGGACCAGTCCTGCCATGGGGTCTCATGGACTGGCCGTGGGGACACTGTGTGCCTTGGGGGTAGGAATATCAGGACTGGCAGCCTGTCCCTGTGAGGCCCAGAACTGTTCCCATTCCCCTTGGTCTCTGTGCAGCTTGATGACCTGTACTTGATTGCCATCTGTCATCGCCGAGGCATCAAATCACTTCGGGACCTTACTCAAGAGCACCTGCCGCTGCTCAGGAACATCCTTCGTGAAGGGCAGGTAAGTTGCTTCACCAAACCACATTGAAGTCCATTGTTAGACTCAAGATTCCAGTATGTTCCCTGGGCCTCTTTCCTCGCTCTTCCCTGAGTGTGTCTTGGAAATGGCTTCTCTCTGTATGCCAGTCTTGTACTGTGTTAGGGCTCATTAAGTTGCTTCACAAGGGTCATTGGTCCTGGCTAGCCCTCTAAACTCTACTTTTCAGCCACCTTTCCTCACCTCCAGATCAGCCTCCCTGCCTTTTTCCATAGGCTTCATCTGGTATGCCCCTCTAACCTCCATTCCAAGACTCTTGCCCCTACCATTCAGGATCACCTGCCTCATGCATGATAACCATCTTGCACCAGATGGGTTTCTTGGGCTTTAGGGCACATGATTTTGACTTGTATATATGCACATACAAGGCAGAGAGCAGGTTGATTCCATGGCACCTGATATTCTAGGACACTTTCTATCTGGAACATTTGTTCAATCTAATGAAATTTTAAGAGCACTAAAAGGGGCCTTGGGGGCAGGGGAAGATGGGAGGATCTTGGGTTGTGGTTATGGCCTGACATGTTGCCCTAACTAGCTGAGTGGCCTGGGACAGTCATTTCACCTCTGTGGACCCCTATATCTGGTTGGGATCCCTTCTAAATACACCATTCTGTGGAACCAGATATCAGCCCTTTTTTCATTTTTAAATATGTGAAGATATACACCTATCATGCCAGGAGCTCTCAGCTACCAGAATACCCAACCCAAAGAGAACTCTGCCACTTTCTAGCCAGTGCCAGGGCTCTGCCCAGATCCTACTTCCCCTGTCACTGTGCTCTGGCCTGTTTTCCAACACCTTCTTGCCCATGGCACCCTCTTCTGACTGCCTTTATGTTTTTGAAGCAACTTATTTTTATCAGGAAGTAACCTCTGGATCTATCCCTGGCACAGAATGATGTCTTTCTCTTGTTGAGACACTTGACCCACTCCTCCCTGTCCTGGCAGCCTCATCCCAATAGACCAGCCCTCTTTATTCCAGGAAGCCTTTTGGGTGCTTTGGGCCTGGTCTCACCTTGCTGCAGCAATTCCTGGGCATGAGGCCTGAGTCTTTCTCTTCACCTTTGACCTCCTCAGGGATCTGCCCATGAAGGAGATCAACATCTTCTCCTAATTCCAAGTCTTGGGGGCTCCTGAAGGAGACAGGGGAGGTCAGGGTAGATAGAAAAAGACCTCCCTCTGAGCAAGGTGGAGTGGGCAGAGAGAACCTGGGCCAAAGTAAATGTTTTCCTTTGGTGAAAGGAGCCCAGCTGCAACAGCCCGTCTGTCTGTGGGTCATCCTTCCCATATCCTTTCCCCCGCCTTTTCCCTTTCACCAGATTCTCAGCACAGCCCCATCTCTGTTGTTTCCAAGCCTTTTTCCAAGAGATATATTTCCTCCCACCTACCTCATGGTTTATCAAGTGCTTGTAATTAATTCATCCAGGGGAAGGACAATATCCACAGTCTTGGGAACCTGGGCCCTATACTTAGACACTGGGACTTCCTAAATTCTCAAAGTAATGTTTTATCAAGGTTGTTGTAGGGAAGCCTGAGAAGATAGGCTCTCTTCTGTTGGGGGAATGAATGCCTCAGCTTTGCTGCTGCCTTTGTTGATTTCCTAGAATGGAAGACAGAGGGATCTGAAGCAAGCAGAGAGCCATTTGGAAGGTTTTTTTATGCTATCCCAGGCTAGCCTGTGCTAAGACAGGAGGAGTGCCTTGGTGGGGGTCCTGACACTGGCTAGTGGGCAGCATGATAACACTTTCTTGCCTCCCCTTTTCTCATCAGGAAGCCATCATGCAGCGCTACCAGGTGAAGGCAGACCAYCTCCGTGTTTACCTGCATTACCTGCCCTCCTACTACCACCTACATGTGCACTTCACTGCCCTGGGTTTTGAGGCACCCGGTTCCAGTGTGGAGCGGGCCCACCTGCTGGCCCAGGTGATCGAGAACCTAGAGTATGACCCCACACACTATCAGCAGCGCACTCTCACTTTTACCCTCAGAGCTGATGACCCCCTACTCAAGCTCCTACAAGAAGCCCAGCAACCTTGAGTGTGCCAGGAGAGGGGCACATTTGTTTGTGGTTTTGGGCAGTATGGAGGCTAAGTTTTACTCCAAGGGGATTTTTAAAACATTTATTTTGTACTGGCTTATTCCTTATATGTGAATAAAGTATTAGGCTCATCTGTGAAGACAGAAAGCATGATCTGGGGAGGCAGATGGGGAGGGACAACAGTTGGGCAGAGCAAGTGGGAAAGTCCCCTGGAAGGGTGGAAAGTCAAGGTTGTGGCTGTAGCTGGAAAGTGACAGTACCCTGGAAGGGTGCTGAGAGCTTGCTCCAAGTTCCTGTACTCAACACACATGTTAGTTTCTGCCCTCCTCCCTGCTCACACTCCTTCCTATTGTGCTGCCAGGCCCTCTCCCACCAATTCGCCTTTGGGGAGGTCCCCCAAAATACCAAATTCAAAACCTCTCCGGAAATATAGTCTATAAAGGCTTTAGATGCCACTTCCTCCTTCCCTCGCAGCCCTGATGTCACACCCTGCATATGCGTTAACCCTGTAGAAAAACTTGCTGAGGAGGATGGGGGATTAATGCCTGGAAGTGGGAGGGTTTTAATGAGAATCTGATGATGCAAGCCCCAAAAGCCTGCCTTTGCCTCTGTAATTTGGTCAGCTAGTCTCTGGCCTTGAGTTTATTATCTAGGCAGGAAGACAAAACACTCACGTGGAACAGCCAGAAGAGCAAGTTCAAAACAGTGTTATCAGCAAGGGCAATATAATATGGTTTCAGTTGAGTACAAAAGCTCCTAAGGAGCTTGGGTTCACAGTGTGGTCAGTGCTATAGGTTCATTAGAATCTGGAAGCCAGGAAGGGTCCTTGACAGATCAGAGAATGATGACCAGACTTGGAGCCAAGGAGCTTATCTGGGAAGGGTGATATCTACCACTGCCCCAGCAGAGCAGGGATACAGCATGCACACAAGGGTACTCTCCAGCACAAAGTACAAGTGTATCACAGTGTTAGAGGGGCTGGCATTTGCTGTTTGATCAGGGTAGAGCTGAGGCTAATGTGGCCTGCTCAGAAAGCTTTATCTGGGCCCTGTAGTGACAACAAAAGGAAAGCATTTGGCAGAGGGGTGGCTGTCACTCTTGTCTCCTGGGTGTGGGACCCAGGAGGCCTGGATTCAGAGCCCAGCTCTTTTCCTTACAGGTGAGGCCCTCAGCAGGTGACACAAGTGCTGCACCTGCCCTAGGCCCACACTGCCTGCTGTGGAGAGCAGGACGTGGACCCTGGTGGTGAGGCCTGAGTGTGAGTGGTCTCCTGACCCACCCTTCCCTTCAGCTCTTCAAGAATCCCAGGATTCAGATAGTGAGCAATTGTTTTAGGTAGTGACCAAGACAGGTTTCTCAACTGCAAATCCAGCTGGATCCACTCATGGCCACCACACATCTGACCAAAAGCACATACTCCTGAGGGCAGGACCACAGGTCACTGCTGGGCTTTTGATGTCAGGAGCCTGGCCTGAGGGCTTCTCCCAGAGTGGTTTCCAGCTGGCAGGGCTGCTCCCTGGGGCTCAGTTCCTCTCCCTGCAAGCCCCAGAAGGGTAAACTGACCCCTTTCCTCTCTGAAATCAGATGGTCCTGACAAGCAAATACTGTTGCCAACTTCAGTACTGCAAAGGTGCCAAAGTGAGGACTCCCTTCAGAACACACTCCCTCTGCCACATCACATGCTCCCAACTACCCACCCCAACTGTGATGCTTGTGAGTCCCGGCCCCCAGCTTGGGCTGACCTTTATGTTCCATGCCATCGTCTCAAGTGTCTACCCTGTGGTGGATGGCTGGTAGGAATTTGATGGCTTGATGCATAAAACTGTGAGGAGGATCCAGGGACTATGTCATATACCTGTAATCCCAGCAGCTCAGGAGACTGAGACAGGAGGCTTGCAAGCCCAAATCTAGCTTCAGCAACTTAGCAAGGTCCTAAGCAACTTAGTGAGACTCTGTCTCTAAATAAAATATTTTTAAAAGGGTGGGGACAGGGGATGTGGTAAGTGCCCCTGGGTTCAGTTCCTGAACCCTATGAGGAGGGATGAGTGATGGGCCAGAGCTCTTGCTGGACAAACTAAGCTAGGGTGTCACAGCAAAAAGGGTGGGGAGTCTGGAGAAGCAGGGAGTGCCCTTCTAGGCCACAGATGCAGGCAGAAAGAAGCCCACACCCTGGCTGGCTTTCTGGCTCTCCTGCAGGTTGACCAGTCCTGCATGCTCTTTGGTTCACTCTGTAAGGAGGAGCCTTTCTGGGATAGTGTCCCCTGAACTCCTCCCAGTCTGTTATCTTCCCAACAGCACAGAGGGATCTTTTCTCAGAACCTCACCGCTTATTTTTCTTATTCTGAATAGGACAAGCCTTTGCAGGAGTTCTGGTGAAGGGCTTCCCCCTTGGCCAGCCAGCCAAAACTGTCTAACTGCCATCTCCAAAAAACTAGGGCTTTCCATAGAACACAGCACCCTTGAGTCCCATCACCCCCTATTCCTCATCCCACTGAGGTTCCTGCCTTGCATCTGGCCCTGGAGCTAAAGGTACAGAGGGTTGACTGCTGTGCCGAGTACTGTCAAGATCCCAAAGCACATACGTCCTGTCACACTCTCCTACATGACTTGTACAGGTAATATCACATGCATCACCTCTTATTCCTACTTGTAACTGTTGGCTTGTCTGCCTTCTCTACTGGCCTGAGGGTAGAACTTGTTTTAGTCATTTCTGTCTCCCCAACACCTAGGATACTGTCTGGCTCAGCAAAGCAGAATTTAAAATAAATCAACATTTATTTCATGGGACCCTCATCCTTGTTTCCTTTTAGAAATAGACTCAGGATGCTTTGTCCAATGTAATGGGGGTGAATGTTAGCTCCGAGAAGCAGAGACTTCCGGTTCTTTGTTCACCATTTATCCAGGATCTAGGACAGTTCCTTGCCTATAGTAAGTGTTCAATGAACACGTGGTGAGTGGAAGAAAGGAACTGGGCTCTGAATCCAGGCCTTCTGGTTCTCAGACCAAGGGATGCAAAGTAACAGCCATTCCTCTCTGCCTCACACTATTACCTCCTCTGAGAGAGCAAAGTAACAGCCATTCCTCTCTGCCTCACACTTTTCCACTGCTTTTACCTCCTCTGAGAGAGCAAGACACAACATCCTCAGCTTTGTCTTGACCAAATAGCAAATGCTAGTGGTCCTCTGCAGTGGTCCTCTGAGCTGGAGAGAATGCCCTCGCCTGCATCCTGTGTCCCTGCTCTGCCAGAGCAAGGGCAGATGTTGCCCTTCCTAGAGTGGCTTTTAGTCCCCAACATATGGCCTACTTCTTTCCTGGGTTGGTTCGAGAAGAAAGGAAAGAAGTAGTTGCAGGCATGACTGCTATTGTTCCTTGGCTTTTATCCATTTGTCCCAGAGTTTCCTAATAGAGCAAAATTGCCATTTGTCAATATGAAACTGAGAAAAAGAACATCCAAGCTCCATTTTTCATGTTCCTGTTGAATAAAAATCCCCAAGTTGAGTAACAAATCAAGAAACAATTACAAAGTATACTTTTTTATCCAAAACATTTGAACACAGGCTTCTCTTGATATCCAGGGGAGTTTGGTTCCAGGACTGGCCCCCCTCCCAAGATGCCAAAATCCTCAGATGCTCATGTATCTTACATAAAATGTTGTAGACTTGTATATAAAATATCTATACATCTAGATTACTAATAATATATAGTACAATGTAAGTGCTATGTTACACTGTATTGTTTAGGGCATAGTGTCAAGGAAAACAATTATGTTCAGTATGGATGCAGTTTTTATGCATATATTTAATTAATTTATTTATTTATTTATGCAGTGCTGGGGCTCAAGCCTGTGACCTTAAGGAGGTGAGGCAAACACTCTACCACTAAGCTAATTACCAGCCCTTTCTCTAATATTTTTCAATCTGAGGTTGGTTGAATCCACAGATGTGGAACTCATAATATCCATGAGGATTATCCATGGGTAGAACTGACTATATGTCTATTTTATCCATGTAGGTCTACTAACTCTTCGCTCTGAAAGGATTCTTTTTATTCTCCAAATGTATACATAGTGTTAAAATGTCCTTTTTTAAAATAAGAAGATGGTAATAATTAGTGGTAGTTGTTTTTTAAGTATCCTTACTTATAAAATAAATGTCAACAACCCTAAGTTTATTCCATTATTATTGTTAATGAAATTATGTTGGATTCTGAAATGTATCAACTTGAAGTTACCAAGTAAACACTGTTAGCAGGGACTAAATTGGCTGAAAGCTTAAAGTGTTTCAATTCCAGTTTAATATAATAAACAGGTTTTGGCATCCAGCTTTTTTTTTTTTTTTTTTTTTTTGCAAGGACTTGGACTCAGGTAGGGCTCATATGGAGTTTACAATTTCATAAGGAACACAGGCATTAATTATGAAAACTGACAGACAAAAGAAATGACTATCTTGAAGGAGTAGTGAAGTCTATGGGAGCCTAAACCAAAGAGGAGCTAAATCTGTAATTTCTTAACTAATTCTATTTTAATTGATAAAAATATATTTGTGGTGTACAACTTGATGTACTTTTGTATACACTTTGCATACCTTTATATCCACTGTGGAATTGCTAAATCAAGCTAACACATGCATTACCTCACATTATGCATCATTTTTTTATGGTGAACAATTCTCTGAGCTTTTTTCAATTATACAATACATTGTTATTAAAAAGAGTCACCATGTTGCACAATAGATCTCCCAAATTTATGCCTCCTGTTTAACTGAAAGTTTGTAACCTTTGACCATATACCATCCAGGCCCTGGAAACCACCACTGTCTTGAGTTTAATATTTTTAGATTCTACTTATAAGTGAGATCATGTACTATTTGTCTTTTTGTGCTCTTACTAAAATTTGATAATCATCAGCCAGATGACAAGCACAAGCAAAGTTTCACAAGTCATGACTCGTATGAATAGGACTCAGAACCAAGCTCATCTTGGGGCACACATACAGTGAGAGCACTGGCCAGTGCTTCAGAATCATATTGAAGAAATGATGGGCTGTGGTGTAGCTCAGAGGTGGAGTACTTGCCTAGCATGCCCTGGATTCAGTCTTCAGCACTGGGAGGAAAAAAAAAAGACAAGACAGCCAAGGCTAAGGGGAAACTTCATAACATTCTGTTTCTCTTCTGCTTGGAAAGCACAGTGGTCCCATGGCTCCAGCATAAACTCTACATCATAACCAAGTATGATCTTGGGCAAGTTACGTAACTCCTCAAAATAAGTGTGACAATAGTGCCTATCCTGGGGCTAGGGTTGTGGCTCAGTGGTAAAGTGCTCGCCTAGCATGCACACTGGGTTCCATCCTCAGCACCACATAAATGTAAAATAAAGATATTGTGTCCACCTAAAACTTAAGAATAAATATTTTTTTTTWAAAAAAATATAGTGCCTATCCTATCTAAGAGGCGTTTGTGAGGATTAAAGAAGATTTGGGAGAATAGTAATATCACTCAGTATGAGCAGCTATTTTTCTGCTGTGAGTAACCTAATAATCAGATATTTTGACTAGCTAACTTGTATGGCCTGAATGTGTCCCTCCTAAAATTTGCATCACAAGATGATGGTATTAAAAGATGGGACTTTGGGGAGGTGATAAGTCATGACAGCAGAGACTTCAGGAATGAAATTAATGCCTTATAAAAGAGACCCCAAATCCAGGTGTGGTGATGCATACCTATAATCCCAGCAATTCAAGAGGCGAAGGCAGGAGAAATGCAAGTTCAAGGCTAGCCTCAGCAACTTTGTGAGACACTGCCAAAATAAAAGATAAAAAGGTATGGGGATATGGCTCAGGGGTTAAGCACCCCTGAGTTCAAATCCCTGGTATCAAAAAAAAAAAAAAAAAGAGAGACCCCCAAGAAATCCCTTGCTCTTTTTAATCATGTGAGTGACAGTGAAAAGTCCATACCAGGAAGCAGGCCCTCAGACACCAAATCTGGCACCTTGAACTTGGACTTTCCAGCCTCCAGAACTGTGAGAAATAAAGTTCTGTTGTTTATAAGTCACCTAGGCTATGGCATTTTGTTATAGCAGACCAAATGGACTAAGATAATATTAAAAATAACTCTATGGTGGGGCATGGTGGCCCACGCCTGTTTTCTCAGTGGCTCAGGAAACAGGCAGGAAGATGGAGGGTTCAAAGCCAGCCTTGGAAACGGCTCTAAATAAAATACAAAGTAAGACTGAGGATGTGGCTCAGTGGTTGAATGTCCCTGAGTTCAAGCCCCAGTACCCAAAGGAAAAATAAAATTAAAAAACATAGTGATTAGAAGGCCCATGAAATCCTAGATGATGATGTAAACCAGAGATTTGGTTTGATTTAGTTTTTGTACTGGGGATTACGCCTAAGGGGTATTTTACTACTGAGCTATATCCCTAGTCCTTTTTATTTATTTTATTTTGAGACAGGGTCTCTCTAAGTTGCTGAGGATCTTGCTAAATTGCTGAGGCTGGCCTGGAATTTATGATCTCCTGCCTCTGCCTCTGGAGTCGCTGGGATTATAGGTGTGCACCACTGTGTCCAGCTTCAGAGGTTTTAAAGGAAAAAAAAAAAACAAGAAATAAACTTTCTGTGGTTAATTTATTGTGGCCTAAACAGAGGCAAAGTCTGCATGAATGATGTCTTGGGATCTCCTCCTGCCTAAAGGTTCCTGGAATGCATTTTAGCCTTTGCCTACTGGCAGGTTTCTAACATTGCAACAGTGACATCCCCTGCTATTGAGAAGCCTGGGAACAACTCAGTTCCATGGCCCAGCCATATAAATCTGATAAAAATAGGAGCTGAAATACCATCCTGGAGTTACTATTTTTAAAAGCGTCTGAGATGCTGGATTGAGCTTACTTCTTCAGACAGCATCTTGCTGTTCCTTTCTCCTCGTGGGCAGGATGTTAACGTGGCACATGAGAGGGACAGCTGCCAGAAGCCTGGGAGGCACATTTGTTAAGCGTCTCCTTGTCTGTTGCCCACACCCACTGTCTTCTAGGGAGTTGTTGCAGGGCCAGCCCTTCCTAGGTCTAGATGCACCTGCCCTCATACCTCTTTCTCCTCTGTCTCCTCCCTCTGTTCTAGAGATACCTCTGGTTGCTCTAGCAGAGAGGTGCTCTACCATATCCACAGGAGAAACTCAGATGAGGTAAAAGGAAGGCAGAAGAAGTGGGAATGAAGTGGCACGGCTCGGAAGTGGACTGGGATTTTTGTTCTATAGCTTGTCTTGGCCTACTCTCACCACAGCTGACCTCCAAGAGGAACAATAGTTTCCATGAGCCAAAGCCCTGATTGCCCGATCACATTGGCTCTTGGTAAGCAGATTGTAATGTCCTGTACACTGACTGAAGGAGTGCAGTGGAGTTGGGAGGGGCTTCAGAACTCAGCGCCTGAAAGCAGCAGAATTGCTTTTCTCCTGCCTCAGAGATATGACTTTGAGGGAGCAAGCTAAAGTTCTGACTGTGCCATTAAGAAACTGGAGGGGAAAAGTCATGAGTAAGAACAATGGGAGTATGAGGAGGTGATCAGAATTATAGTTAGCTTCTCTCCCAGCAAGACTTGGGATACATGGGGGTAGAGGAACCTTTTATATTAAAATAGGTATTTCACCTGCATAATAATAGCACAGTTGTATATAACATATTATGCTTTCAGAACAAATTCACATCCATTGCCTCATTTGATACCAACAATAGCTCTTTGAATAAGCTCAGTTATTTCCATTTATTTATTTATTTTCTAGTAAGAAAACTATAGCTATTTATTGACAGAGGCAGGATTGGAACTCACATCTCCAGGAGTAAAAGCTGGTTAAGTTCCATTTTCTTTTCTTAATTTTTAATTTTTTTATTTTAGTTGTTGATGGACCTTTATTGTATTTATTTTTTTATATGCGGTCCTGAGAATCAAACCCAGTGCCTCACACATACTAGGCAAGTGCTCTACCATTGAGCTTCAACTCCAGCCCTAAGTTAGATTTTCTTGCAGAGTAAAGTTGATATGGTTCTGAGCAAGAAAAGAAAACTGTTTAGATCTAATTCATCAAAGACTTTGCCAACTTTGAAGGGCAGGCTGATTCTTGGACCAGTACTGCCAGAGACACCTCATCACTTAGGGTATTTGTCTTTTCTGTCTGGGCCAGTTTTCTTTCTGTAAAACAGGGCTCTTCCCTCTTCCTCTTGACTTGCCCAAGGAGAGATTTAGTCATTGTGTTCTCTCTACCCAGTCAAGTTCCAGATCTGAACATGATATGCAATAAATATGTGCTGAATGACTGACAAATATAAAGGCACACTCAAATAAAACTGAATTAGGCATTGGTGAACTGCCAAACAAATTCTGCTCATGCAAAGTGTGATTTAAGATGGAACAGTCACCTGTGGAAGAACTTAGAAGTGAACTTGCTTCACTTTATTCTTGCAGAACAGAACTTACATTAGAGAGATGAGCCCTCCCGCTTAGCTGAAGGGCACTTTGAGCTGCCACTTCTCTAAATGCCTTGTACTAACTGTCAGTTACATTTTTTCACTTAGTCACATCCTGTCCTGCCTTTTTTTTTTTTTTTTTGTACTGGGGATTGAACCCAGGAACACTTTATCACTGAGCTACATCCCAGCCCTTTTTATTTCTTATCTTGAGACAGGGTCTCTGCTTAGGGCCTCTCTAAGTTGCTGAGGCTGGCCTGGAAATTGTGATCTTCCTTTTTCAGCCTCTTGAGTCGCTAGGATTAGAGACTGTCCCATAGTGCCAGGCTATCCTGCCTTATTCTTTAAAAGAGCCCAATGCAAGTCTTTTCTCTGTAGCTGGATGGTAAGCTTCGGAGGACAGGGGCTGAGTCTGAGTTATCTTTAGGGCAAAAGAGAAGCCATTCTGGTATTTTGTTTTTCTTCTGTTAGAATCACTCGTGCCATCAAACCCAAGGGCTTCACACCAGGGGCTCAATAAATGCTATGCTGTTTGGTGAAAGAACCATTAGAAGGATGGTCCTGCGCTGTGATTTCTGCACTGTTCTTCAGCCTGGAGGGTTCCCAGATTTACTCCAGAGATGCCAGGGCTCTAGGAACCAAGGTCAGGGGTTTATTGGGATTTCCCCCTGAAGACAGGATGCCTGGAGCTTTAAGTAAGACTGGAAGCTTTGTTAGGTCAAGATATGGTGTGCAAGTGAAGGGTGCAGAAGGAGCAGTTTGGGGATGGCAGGTCCAGACTGGGGTAAGGTAGAGCCCACAAAGTGGTCCACGATACCTGTCTGCCTTCAGTGCACGGCGCTTTAGAGGCAGGGCTCCCGGAACAAGGTCCTTCCTCCTCTGTGTCTCAGTTTCTCCAGTGAGGGAAGGACACAGTTCACCCCAAGAGAGGGCAGAGAACCCTTTCTTCGATCTCATTGTTCTGGGGAGGGTGTGAGGAGGCTGAGCTGGGCATACCCATTATAGGCGCCACTCACAGTCAGCGCCTGCCCTGGCTCTGCCCTCACCCCATCCGGTCTGCTCTTCCACCCCTCCGCGCCTACCGCACCTCGGGCCCTTGCCTGCCTCTCTCCGGGCCTCGAAGCCTTCCAGCTAACCCAAGCCGCCGCGGGCATCCGCCTTGCCCGCGCGCGGCATCGCCCCCGCCCTTCCTCCTCCTCCACCCCACCCTTTTCCTCCTCCCCTCAGCTCCGGAGTCGACTCTCCGGCAGTGTGCGCAAGCGTGTCCGGCCCCTTCCCCGCCCCGCGCCCGGCCCGGGCCCGGGCCCCCGCCTCCCCTGCAGGCAGACTTGCCTGCTCCCAGGCCGGCCCCGCGCCCGGGACAGGGACCGGGCGGAGCGGAGCCGCTGCGCCAGCGCTGCGCCGCCAGTCGCTGCGACTAGCGGATCGGTGCTGTGTGCGGAACTGCCCTGCCCCGCCCCGCTCCACCCGCCAGGGTGAGTACGCGGCGGCCGACAGCCGGGGGCCCATGGCCGAGGGCTGGGAGAGGCGAGGGGGCCCGGGTCGCCTGGCCCCAGCCCAGCGCCGTGGCTAAGGGAGGTGGTCGGGCCCGGCACGTGCGCACAGCGTGGCTCGGGGTTGGGGTGGGGCAGCCACAGCCCTGGGGAGCTGCTTCCCGGGGTTCCTTTCCCTGGACCACATTTTCGCGGGAAGCCCGATTCTAGATTCTCCTGGCTTCCTCGGAGTGAGCAAACAGGACAGCCCTCCTCTCTGGAAAGTTTCTACCTCCTACCCCTGTGCCTGGTGAAGAGGCATCCCTCACCTCCAGCATTCTTAGAGCGATGATTTCTCCCACAACTGTCCCCATCAAGTCTGGTACATATGGTCTGGCTTTGCTGGAGGTGACAAGCTTGGCGGGGTCTATCTGTGTGCAGGAGTTGCAAGGTCGCTGAGCAGAACCCAAAGGTAGGGTTGCCAGCTGGAGACTGGCGGTTCCCAGAGCACCAGGGCCACGTTGTGGGCGGTCTATGGCGGACCTAGACCACTATGCTTCCAAGTTGCCTGAGTGGTGGACAGTGGAGTGGAATGGCTTTGAGGGAGGGTGAGCTAGAGCTCCAGGGCAGGAGATGAGGCAGAGATCCTGCGCTCAGCTATCTGCTTTAGGTGCCTCCCTGGGACCCCTGCTGGCAGAGACCTGTGGCCAGCCCAGAGTTGCCAATATGTCTGCCAGCACTGCCCCTCCATTCCCAGTCCTGGAGGAGGCTCCTCAGGGCTGTGTTTGGCCGGATCTTCTGTAGCTTCCTCTGTTCCTCAGTCTGGGTTCCCAGGGCCCGGCTTAGGGGGCTGCTGCTAGAAGGCTGGGGGTGTAAGCCGAGTTCGGTGCCCAACTATGCCCTGAGTTCAAGCTTCCCCCACCCGCAAGGAAGCCTGTGCTTTCCACCACTGGTGGGAAGCATGGAATGGAAGCCACGTTCAGGTGGACTTACTTCCTGTAGAACCTTGGAAAAGGACCTGATATAGGCTGGGTTGTCACAAAAGGCACAAACCCATGACACTGTGCAGGATCAGTCCTACAGACCCCACCCTCCCACTTGCCTTCTCCAAGCCCTGGTCCTGGCATCTGTCCACAGGTTTTAAATGAGTTGATCTGTATTAAGTACTTTGAAAAGTGCTTGCAGGGAGGAAGAACTATGTAAGTGTTTGCTACTAGAACTATTTCTCCTATACTGACTCTCCAAAACTGCCATGTAATTCAATGAGGTACCTGGGAGGTGCCAATTGCTTGGGGCCTGGAAATTGACTATCAAGCAATTTTTTTATATTGGGTGCTGGTCTGGGGATACCCTCTGCCTAAGCTGAGGTGGCCCTGCTTCCTCTACCTATTTCCTGCTCTGCTTCTGCCCCCATTCTCAGGGTGCTCCTTATGCTGTATCTTGATTGGTCTGGGTGGGAGATCATAGGCTATGTCAGTGGGCTCTGGGCTCCACCAAGAAGTTGAGGGAGAACACAGACTTGGGGCCAGCTCCCCAGACTTCAAGGTGATAGTGTAGGTTAGAAGGGTGATGTGAATGTAATAAACTAGAAATGTAAATTAGGAGCCATAAGTGTAGCTCAGTGGTTAGAGCACTTGCCTAACACAAAAGTAGGAGTCACCTGCTTGGACCTTGTACTGAGAGGGCATCTTTGGCTTGGGAATAGGTTGCTTCTCAAACACAGGAGGGCACCCCTTCCCCAAGAATGAAGGACCAAGGAAGTCCATGGAGCCTTCTGGACTACTTTCCCCCTTTTCTCCATCCCTCCCTTCCCTGAAGCAGTGACTTATTCCCCACTCCTCAGAAACTGTCTTGGCCCCTCCAGTCTCCCAGCCATTTTACACTCTTAGGATTTAGTTTTCTGGGTAGAACCAAGAATCTACTCCTTTCTGAAACTGCAAGAAGTCCTGGAAAGGGCCTCCCCTTCACAGGGAGGATCAGAGAGGCCAGCTCCCTTTCTGTGCACTATCTTGAACTGTGGCCTCCCTGCAGTAACCTTGTCTGGGCCTGTTATCTGTCTTTGCCCTGGAGACTGCCTCTGGTCTCTGGGTCTTATCTCAGAGTGACTGCTCCATGGTTATTTAGTGGAGCTGAAAACTCCTGTCAGAGGGTCTCAAGGTTTGCACCATCCATTGTAAGGAAGGGATCACTGTACCTCAGACTAATATGAAACAGTTGTAAGATACCTATGGAGTTCGGTCCTTGGGCTTACAGGGAGGGAAGAGGAGGGAACACAGGGAAAGGGTAGAAGGTAAAGCAAGGTTGTGTGGGAAGCCTGGGCTTCCACTAGGGTCAGAAAGCCAAGTCAGGGCTCGCTGTCCCTGGAGGTGGACCTTGGACATAGGAAGGCAGAACAGGTGGTAAAGAGTGGGAACTCCTGAGTTCTCAGCACCTGCTCCCGTCCCCTAACTGTTCATTTCACCTGGTATATGTTAGACAGTTCTCTGCAGCAAGCCGATGCTGGTGTAGCTGCTGCTTCTTGTTCCCTGGCCCTCAGGATTTTCCTTCCTTCTCAAGACCTAGGGTTTTGACCAGAAGCTTTTGGTTTCCAGGAGGAAATGACTAGCGTAGGGGACTTTGGGTGATTGTAGTTATTAGCATATTTCTCTCCTTTTTCACCCCTTCTCAGGGGTGTTCAGTGCTTCTGTATAAATACTGAGCACCCCTGGATGTGCTTCTAGCCACCCCTGGCCTCAGAATCTCCCAAAACCTTATCATATTCCAGGATTTTCTTTCCTGTTTGGGGAAAGTCAACTAGAAAAGTCCAGGGAGCATTTCAGGGAGCGCCATTTCCTGTTGTGTGTATATGTGTGTGTGTGCTCGCGCACGCACACACACATGAGCAGACTCAGGCTCACATGATTCAATGCAGGTGGAGGAGGTGGTCCAGTGCAGCCTCAAGTGGGAGCAGCAGCAAGTGATACTGTGGTCCCAGCCAGGTGCTAAATTCCACCAAAAGGTGTTGCTTTTCAGGATGAGGGGAGTGGGTATCTAGAGGTTTGGCTCTTCTTTTAAGTCTTGGAGACATAGCCAGGGCCAGACCACAGCCCCATCTCTACCCACCCCACCCCCAAATGCTGCCATACAGAAGGATGATGTGATTGTCTACACTCTGAAGCCCTGGGTTCTGCTTTTGGCCCAGTATGAAGGAGGGTGCGGCTATTCAGACTGTGGTGATGTGTAGGTTGGCTAGGCCCTCAGTTTTCAATGTGGGCCTTGAGTGTGAGGAAGGCTGGGCTGCAGAAGCCCAGGAGCAGTCGGAGTGGTAGGATAACCTCTTCTTCCACTTGCAGCTTTGTTCAGTCCCTTGCTAGGAGTGAGGGACTCCAGAATCTTGCTTTCCTGTTTGAGGAAAATCAGCTAGAAGAGTCTGGGGAGCATTTCAGGGAGTGTGGTTGTGTTTCTGCATTGGGCCCAAACCCCCTTTCAGGGTGCAGGTTCCTGTTGCTGCAGCAGTACTACTGTGCCCACCATCTACTCTGTGTCTTCCTCCCATTGAAGCAAAATAAAAGTCATAATGAAAAGGGACTTAGCAAATAACAAAAGGAGTCATTATTTATCAACCAAGCACTTATTAAAGACCTGTTCTGATCAATAAAAAAAAATGTGCTAGGCACTTATTCACATCACTTAATGTAAACCTTACCACCTCACCCCAAACCCCCAAATCCTATTTTTTTTTCCAGTGCTGGGGATTGAACACACATGCTGGGCAAGCATCCTACCACTGAGCTGTACCCCCAATCCCCAAACCCCCTATTCTTGAGCCCCTTTATAAGTGAAGAAACAGAGGCTGGGAAAGATTAAACTACTTGGCCAAGATCAGAGCTCATAAGCAGCTGAGCTGGGACTCCGTTTCAGGCCTGCTTCCAAACCCTGAACTTTTCAGTCCAGTTCTCAACTGTGCCCCTGAACTGGTTTTCCTTACCTGTTGGGCTTGCAATTTAAAAAAGAAGAAGAAGAAGGAAGAGGCTCTGGACTCAGGTATAAAGGGATTTGCCCAATGCCACAGTGTTTTAGTGACAAAGGTGGGACACAAACCCAGGCTTCTGCGTGCTGCCCTGAGTCTAAGTCATTGCCCTGCCCATCCAAGCCCAGTCCCCTGAATTCCTGAGTCGGGCTTGTCTGCCCTCTCAGTTGGGTAGACCCGGGTTCTCCTTCCTCCTTCCATCTCGCCTCCCGGCTTTCCTCCTTCCCTGCCGGCCCCTGCCGGCCCCTCCCAGCCCCCACCACGCCCGCTTTCCCGCCGGTAATTGCTTCCATCTGGCCCGCCTGCCCGCTCCTATTCCTTTGGAAATGCGTTTCCTCGGCCGCCCACATGGCTGCAAGGCCTCATCCGGCAACCACAGCGACGCGTGGGGAAGGGGAGGGGCCCTACTGGGGTCGGGGCATGGGGAATCAAACCATCCAAGGTGGCTTCTTCCAGTGTTCCTGCCAGGTAGGAGCACTTTTTGCTGCATAGACCTCCCTGACCTGGGCTGGCTCAAGGTCAGAGAGGTTCCCTAAACACCCCATTCTCCAGCCATTGAAACCTCCTCTTGTACTTTGCAGACAGGCTCAAAAGCCATAGGCCTCCTTGTTCTTTTGAGATTGCTCACCTTCAATGAAGGGGTGCCTGGCGGAGAGAAATAGAGACGAGTAGGGACACACCCTGGACTCCCACTGATGGGAATCTCTGGGAAGTAAGACAAACAGAGGAGCATTGGTGCAGAGCCCAAGGAATCCTGGGAGCTCTGGACATGTGAGAATGGAGCTACTGGTTTCATTGACCCTAAACAATCGACACAGAACAGAGATACAACCTCACATTGCCTGGATACAAAATGCACGCATCCTAATAGTGCATTAATATTCGGTTGACTCACTTGCCTAAGAATCTGAAGAGGCTGGGGAGGGAGAGGTCGCAGGGTTGTCAGGATGGCCACCTATGCGTTTCAGAGGCATGCTTCTGCCTGTGGAAGGGG